GCTCAGGGCTCATCCCTCCAAAGGGGGCTCCAGCTGAAAGTCCTGGGATGGGGTCTTCCTGGTTGTCTGGCAACTCCTTGGCAGGATGCTGGAGCCCTGACATGAATGTTTGTTTGTGGGGTGGATTGTGAGAGCAGGGTTGGGGGAGTGCAGGCCCCCAGGTTCTATAAACCCCACCCAGAGCCTGCCTCCTCCTGCCTCCTGTCTGGTCCAGCACCTTTCCTTATACCTGCCCTGCATCTCCCTGGCAGAGCCACTGGCCTTCCTGAGAAGTACTGCATTGAAGCTGAGCGCAAAGCTAACATCCTGCCAGCCACCTCTGTGAACTGACGGGAGCCTTCGTGGTCCCCAGGATGCCTTCGGGGGACAGATTCTGCCTAGGCTCTGGTTGTCCATAATTGCTGCTAATCTAGACATTTCATAGTTACAGATTAAATCGATTTGACTTCTCTCAGGAATAGCTTGGTTTTCTCATGGGAAACTGGCTGCTACCGGGTACTGAAGTGGAGCAAAATAGGTTGTGGAGGGTCCGAGTGTGGGTGGCATGGTGCTGAGGGTAAGGGAATGGGAAGACGCTCCTTTATGATGGTTTCTCCTAAGCAGGAGGTCCCTCTGTCCTGGTGTCTCCTGGCCTTTTGTGATCCCCTGGGATGTCAACTTTCAGAACAATCTTATCTCTGCTCTGCCCCGACACCCAGGTCAGAAGCATTTCAGCGCATTGAGGGTGAGCAACAGATGCCTCCCAGGGAGGGGCTGGGGCAAGGCTTGGCCAGGCGGAGCTGGTGAAGGAGGCATCAGGGCTGGGTGAGGCAGGGCTCTTACTGGGATCACAAGCATGACTCAGATCACATCTGTGGGGGGGTGATGTTTGAACCTAGGGCTCACTCTGCCTGTCTTGGCTCTCTCCTGATGGAACCCTTTCAATTCCAGGCGGTGCTACAACACAGACACTGGCCCATCCCCCACTGGGGCATGCAGAGAGCCCCACACTCCCCACCCTGCCAGTCCAGTCCCCTCACCCAAACTCAGCCCCCTCCTGTGGCTGGGCTCTCCTCAGTCCGCCTCACTCCCATAGCTGGGGATCCCAAGCCATTTTCATCTGTTTTTAACTTTTCTCACTTTGCCCCAAACTATCATCATTCATTCACTTGTTCAGAAACTCGCTGAGAGCCTACCACATGCCAGGCACATTCCAGGCACTCAACTGAGCACAGCAGACCTGGCTGTCCCCTCAGAAACCTCTCATTTGTGCCAGTCCGCTCCTGCTTTCTCCCCCGAGCTGCTCGGAATATCTCTGCCTTTTTGGCCTCTCACCTGGTTGTCAGGTGCCCATTTGGGGCTGGAGTGCCAGCTTGTAGGGATGGAGGCACGTCCCTGTTTTTGCATGCCTGGGGAAAGTGCTTTCCTCCAGCTGCTGTGATGATGAGGTCCCTCTGCACCCCCAGTCTTGCCTTCCTCGATGGGCCCTGCACCAGAGGAGGCGAGGAAGCTGCTGGGTGCGTCCTGGATGTTTACAACTCCAGGTTACAAGGGCCTCAGGCAAGAGTCCTCTTTTCATAGGGCCCAGGGAGAGTCGGTAAGCTGTTTCCTGTGCTTTCTTTTGCTCAGGACAGCCACGGGTTCCCCAGGCTCCTTCTCCACCTTTCCCACCAGGAAACATTGTTGCCCCGCCCCACCAGCTCTTTGGGAAAGAGGCTTTCCTAAAGCTTCAGCCCTCCTAACTGCAACCCTCCTTCCCAGGGAAGCTGATGCCTTCCTCCTTGAGGGTCTCGGGAAGACGTGGTATCCAGCTTCAGATGGGAGAGAAGGCACAGCAGTGCCGCTGAGGATTCCGGGACTCATCTGCAGTTGGCACACTGGCAAAGGTTCTCTCTGAGCATCATCTGTTGCTCAGTGGATGCCTGTGGGGACCAGGAAACAAGGCTTTGCCTAGTTCAGGAAACCCTCTTTTTCAGCGAAGCCAGAAAGAGCCTGGGTGTTTAGGGTTTTCCCAGGCTCACACCCAAGTCATCCGTCTCAGGACTGGAAAAAATGGGCCCCTGTGGAGAAAGGAGGTTCCACACCCACTGCTAACTTCTGGGCCCACTTAGAGAAACATGCGCCGACACCACAGGTTGAAAGTGAGGCCAGCATTTGACCAGAGCTACTGCTGGTGAAAATGTAGGTGTTTGGGTCCTGGAAGATCCCAAGGCCTTACTAAAGGTGAGACTGTCTTGACTGGGCCTGGACACAGGGCAGTTATAGGTTGCACGAATAAAGGCCGGGCTTTGAAGTGAGAACGTAGCCATTTCTGAGCAAGTGAAGACGGTTTGGGAGAGAATCTCAGGGCTTTTCCCCAGGGTTGACCCTTCCACTCTCATTGGGAGTTCTCCATCTTGGAATTGGCCCACAAAGTGAAAGAGAGGTTCAGTTTCTTCTCTCAGGATTCCTAAGAAGCCACACCCAGGCTTTCATGGGCTCTGAACTAGTCTGAACCAGTAAGACTTTAGTTCGAAGATGCGTGGCACTCTTGAGAGCCAGGCAGGCAGTTGGGATCTGAGGCCAGTCAACTACCTCTGGGCATCTTTTAAAAACCCTCTACCAATCTCATTCAGGAATGGCAGTGGGGTTAACTACAGAGAAATCTCCCCGCTTCACGTGGGGGCTGGTGGAGTTAGGTTGCATGATTCTGGTGGCAGACCCAGCAGGACACTGTGAGCCGAGCCTACAGAGTAAGGCTAGGGCCTGAAGACAAAGAAAGCAGAAAATGGGCATTCTTTTGAGGACTCTAGTGGGTTCCTAGGACCTTCAGTGGGGGTGCTTTCTGCGGAAGAGGTTTCAGCTTTCCCCTTCTCATGCTCAGAGGTGGAGATGGGGAGCTCCGTGTACCCATCTAAGCTACTGAATCAGCACAGGTCTGTGTGAAAGGCTGTAAGAGATAAGCAGGAAGGACAGTTTGCCACACTGTCTTTGTTAACATAAAGCCTTTTTTCTAGTGCCCACACTATTATTGACATTGTTATATGGATAGCTGATCTTTTCATATCTATTTTTTGCATTATTTTATGTATAAAGGTACATGTTAGCTTCTTGAGGACTTCCCAGCCCCTGTCTTCTGCCTTGGGAGGTTTTCCAGCCCTTATAGTGTCAGACCGAACTAGTCCACTCTAGAGAATCTAGGTGTTAGGCTCCCTGCTGGGGCAGTAAGTCAGATCTGCCGGCAGCTGCCTCCCAGGCACGTGCCTCTGGCTCCTGGCTGGGCTCAATGCCCTACCTGCCCACATGTGCCTGCTGCCCACACCACGCTCTGCTGTGGCTTGGAGGTGGCCTCAGTACTTTTGCACCAGCTGCAGAAGGAGCTCCAGCTGGAAGTGACTCAGCAGCTGCCCTGGTAGCTAAGCCATGCTGTCTCTGATTCAGTGGGGTGCTGGGATGCCCTTTACTACCCCTGAAAGCCTAAGCACCCTCACCTGTGACTCAAATCACAGCTGGACATTACTTGGTCTCAGTAAAAGCGTCTGGATTAGGGTCAGATGAAAGGGGCTGAGAGAGTTCAAAGACAGACAAGGCTTTCAGGGTGAGGAAGAGTGGCTGCGGTTTAAGTGATCGTGGAAGGAGACGCTGGAGCCTCAGACAAGAAGTCTGGATTTGTGGGCTATGGAGGCTCAGGGACAGTGAGCTCCTCACTCTATTTCTCACTCTCTCTCCTCCTAACTGCTGTTTCTGCAAAGAATGGGAGCTGGTGGAGAACTGTGGAAGAAGCAGATGGCTCACTCCAGACCATAGGTCTGTTCCCCTCCTGGACTGCTGCCTACGGCAACCTGCCTCCCCTACCAGACTCTGAGATATGTCAGGGGAAACCAAGCCAAGGTTACCTGGAAGGTCCTCATTTCTGACACCGTAGAGTTATTCTTGATTTGTCTGGCTTTAAATAGCTCAGACCTTTCCTCTCTCCTGCTCCCAAATCTCACATCCTTCCCAGTTGGGACATTCTCCTTGAGGTACAAGCTCCGTGTTTCTTTTTGCATTCTCACCTATGTCCTCTTAAGAGAGGGGTCATCTCATCTCAATGCCCTTGACGACTTTGAGGCTGGCCAGGAGTAGGGTTGAGATTTTAGATGCTTTCTCAGAAGAACCAGAAACAAGAGTCAGAAGGGGCTGAATGGGAGTGGGGAGCAGAAAGGCTGGGCCTGGAAGAAACTGTCCAGAGCCAATGAGCTTTTCTGTCCCTGGGTAGGGGGGATGGACACCAAATCTTAGAATCTCAAAGCAGAAAGAGACCCCGAAGAGTCTCTGATGCTTGAATCTCCTTTGTAAACTCTAGTCAAATGGTTGGACAGTCTGAGCTTGTGCATCCTGAGACAGGGCACTCACTACCTCAAAATGCAACCCAAACCATCTCGGATCAGCCCTGATGTCCAGGAGGTTCTTCACACTGAGTCAATATGTCTTCCTGTGAATCCAATGCGTGGACCTAGTTCTGCTCTTTGGGACCACACAAGACGAGGCCAGGTTCTTTTTACACAACATCTCTTCAGATACCGTCTACCCGGCCGCTGTGCAGGCTGACCCTGAGGGGAAGCGCCTGTCATTCTGGAATCACAGGGCTATGCCGAGCTTTTCAGGGAGGGGTTGTTGAGGGGAGGAAACTGGGAGAAGTGGGGAATCTTCAACTTTATCCCTTGGGCTGGGCCTGCTGCCCTCCTGCCAGGTAATACTTCTGCTGTCCCTGAAGCCCTGGCAGAGCTGTGTTGGCTCTGAACCCCGCCCCTGTGGCACCACCTTCCCCTTGATGCCTTCTATCCTAGCGTCCAGGAAACACGAAACAAACAGAGGGCAGAGAGGATTGGTCAGGACGGGCTTCATGAGAAAGGCTCCGAAGGAGACATACACCGTCTGCAGCTTTGTCCCACACATCTTCCTGGGCAACTGCCAGTGGGGCAGGGCAGGCCCGGGCCACCCTGCAGGTCGAGGGGACCACAGTTCCCCTCTGTGGATATGTGTTTTGGGAATCCAGATGACAAAATCAAAATTAAATTTTATTTCTACAAATTAAGTCAAAGTCCCATTGGACCTGTGGATTAATTCATCACAGTTTCTCTCTCCGTAAACAGACAGACACATGGTTCAGCAATCAATTTGGTTGCTTAATCCACCCAAGGGCCTGGCTCTGATCCCTGTGAGGTGCTCTGGTGTTCTGGGTAGAAGGTCCCAAGAAATTCTGTTCTCAAGGATCTTCCTTAATCATCAGCGGTCACTCCTGGCTTTGCTTCTCTCAGTCCATGTCTGGCAGGGACCTGGTTTACTTACCAAGCCCAGAAATATTCCCCTGGCCACTTCGCTCCACCCCCTACTCCTTTCTGTGGCACGCCATTTTAGTTGTCCTTCAGATCTTGGCTTAAACATCATTGCCACTAGGCCAGGGGCCTCCCACATATTACTGCAGCTTACCACATTGAGGGCCAGGAGCCATTTCCCCATCAGATGGGGTTCTCTGTAAGAATAGAGACTGAGCCTCCTTAACTGCCATTTCCCCAGGGCCTAGCCTAAAGCCTGGCTGCTTGCTGAATGAATGGAGATTCTGCAGGATGTGGCTGGTCTTGGCAAGGTGAAAACACCTTTATCTTCAGAGCCTCTTCATTCTTGCTGAGGCCTGTCAACAGGAAATCACATACGCTTTTCAAGCGATTTCTTCTTGCGTCCACCCATTTCTTGCTAACAGTTCAGCTGGTGGTGTTCAATCGCCTCCCTTTGCTCTTGTGCTCTGCTGATGTAGTGACAGTGCCAGCCACTCCTTTACTTGATGGGGACTGTGTGTGTGCTGCTTGCTCTTCTGAGTCTGTCAGCTTCAGGACATTGCTTGATGGGGGAGATGTGGGCATATCCAGGCTCATCCTAGAATCCCGCTTTTTCTGAAGTGTACCAGTCAGAACCACTGAGGCTTGGGAAACCTGAGCAAGGGTCTGGGGAGTCCCTGTGTCACCTGTGTTCACGGCTCTTCCCTGCCAGCCTTGATTTGAGCCTCAGTCTCGAACCCAACCCACACCCTCAAACTTAACCCCACGTGTTGATCTCATCTCTCTCTGTAACCAGAACCCGATGTTGTCCCAGCACCACCCATGCAACCTCTGAGCCCCCTGCCCTTCTCATGCAACCATGGCCTCACCTGGCAGACCTCCACCTCCAAATCGTCACTGAAAGCCGGGTGGATGGACAGCAGCTGCAAGGCTCCTTGGCTTCTCTGTGACTCTCTGCCTATTCATAGTCTCTCACTGCTGCTTCTCCCAGGGTCTTGCCTCAGAGGTTTCCTCTGCAGGCAACTCCTCCCTGGGTGCTGCAGGGCGAGCCCTGGGCTGCATGGGGACTTGGGAGAGGGGGCTGAGGAGCTTGCTGACTGCGTGCGGAGGAGCCTAGAAAGGGTTAAGTTCAGGGCCGGCGCGGTGGCTCACGCCTGTAATCCCAGCACTTTGGGAGGCCTAGGTGGGTGGATCATGAGGTCAAGAGATCGAGACCATCCTGGTCAACATGGCGAAACCCCATCTCTACTAAAAATACAAAAAAATTAGCTGGGCATGGTGGAGCGTGCCTATAATCCCAGCTACTCAGGAGGCTGAGGCAGGAGAATTGCCTGAACCCAGGAGGCGGAGGTTGTGGTGAGCTGAGATTGCACCATTGCACTCCAGCCTGGATAACAAGAGTGAAATTCCATCTCAAATAAAAAAAAAAAAGGGTTAAGTTCCAGTGCCAGCCAAGGTAGGGGTTGTGGGGAGCTTGACTGAGCCTGAGCCCAGGGAGTCTGGCGGCCAGTGAGAGGGGTTGGGGTGGGCAGGCCCAGGCAGAGGAGGGCAGGGCTTAGAGGAGCTGGGTGGAGTTGCCGTGAAAGGGACTTTGGAGGAAGAGTCGGCAGGCCAAGCCCTCTGCCTGCCCTTCCCGAAAATGTTCTGGGGCTGGGCTGCACTCATCCTGGAAGCAGTCTCTGGACTTCCCTGGGTTTCTGTCCAGCCTCTTTCTACCTCCTGCATCTCCCTGTTTACTCCTTTCTAGACCTGTCTTTAGCTTTCTGTGACTGTCTTAGAATAGAAGCTAATACCACCCAAACCAGGGCCGTTCTTCCCTGGAGAGTCATGGATTTCTCAGGAAAAAGCAAGGGGCCCTTTTGGAAATTGGTGTTGGGACTCAGCTCATGGCCTGTGCCCCCTGCCTCCTCTGTCTCCCTCTGGGCCTCTGGAGGGGCCATTTAGACCACGTGTGTTTCTGTCTGTCTCTGTCCCAGTCTCTGTCTCTGCCCTATAACACATCACTGTCTCTCCCAATCTCTTTCTTCTCTCTCTCTGGGGCTACAGAGGGAACCCCAGTAGTCTCCTAGATCCAGACCTTTATAAAAGCTGAAAAGGAAGTGGGTGGGGAAATGAGGTGTTTGGGGTGGAGACTGGGTTGGGAAAAATGAGAGGGAGGAGTTGGAATGGGGTCTTCCTAGGAGTGGGGCCCTCTTCCACTGCTGAGGATAAGGCCCAGAGATAATCACAGACGGTGGCTGCTTCCAGAGAGAGGGGACTGTGGGACAGCGACATGTGCTGTGGAAACTATGCTGACACCCCAGTGCCTTCACTCCATCCACAGCCTCCCCACCGCTGCCCTCCCTGAAAATCCTGCAGGGCTCAGGGCATAGGGCTGGAAGGCTGACAGCTTCTTTTACAGGATTCAAATTGCAAGGAGGTAGCAATTAAGCCTCAGAAGGTCAAGGGGAACAACAATGGCACTCTGCCCTTTCAGGCTTTGAAGGACCCCCATGCGGTGCCCCATAAAGGGGCTGTTCTAGGAGCATGTGGGCCCTTAGTTTCTCCCAACTCCTATCTCCCGAGGACTCCAAATGCAGACCGCCCCTCCTCCCACCCAGTGAGACTCCCTCTGTTGGACCCCATCTTCTAGTTCAGTTTGGTGTCAGAGCCCCATTCATCGTCAATAGCTTCCTTCGTTTCCCCAAATGCTTCTCCTGGAGCTTGGCCAGCTGGGGAGCTTTGGTAGTGGAGCAGGACTTCAGAGGGTCCATGCTCTGTGGGATTTGGTGGCCTCATACCCCTTAGATGGGCTCGTGTACCTTTGGCTTCCTCCTCAAAGTCTTGAGACCCCAGTCAACATGTGCCACCGGTAGTCTCCCCACACTAAGGGGTGAAAATTCGAGCCAAACCTGGATTGAGCAGATGGAGGCTGAAGTCTGTCTATATCAGAAATAAAACCTCATCTTCAATTCTCATCAACTCCCGCTGCTTACATGTCTTTAAACCATGTTCCAACCTAACCGTAGCCTATTTCAACGTGAGTCTCAAGCTCAGTTCTAACCCAGTGGTCACCCCAATCCTAAATCAGTCTAAACCCAGCCTTTGATTTAGTCCTAGCTGTGTCCCCAGGCAGAGCTGTACATGAAACTGAAACTCTATTCCTTCTCATAACACAAATCCCAGCCGTAAACCTTAGCCTCAATTCTGGCTGTATTTCTAACCCTAATCCCAACCTTAGCTCTAATCCCAACCTCAAATCTGACCTCAACCTCATTCATAATTCAACTAACCCCAGACTTAACCCCAGCTCGAACACTAGCCCACATCCAGAACCCAGTTACATCCCAAGCCTGCCCTTCAGTTTTATAAAGCCACCACCTTACTGCTTTCTCTATTCATGGACTCACCTGTTTTCCCTCCCACCCACCCTGACTTTCCATGCTTCTTGTTTGTGAGTGGGTCTAGTAATCCACAGGATCACCGAGACCTCTCTTTGGACCACTCTGGACTGACAGCCTGGGTACCTGGGTATCCCAACTCAGGCCCCAGCTGCCTTGGCTGAATCCCTATGTTTCTCCAGGCCTCTGTTTGCCCATCTGTAAAATGGGGATAATGATCCCTGCTCTTCAAAGGGTGCAGGAAAATCCCATAAACCTAAAAATAAGTAAGGAAATAAAGATATTCATTGTGTACATCTGCCAAGTCTGAGTGCCCTGTTATTGTTGGGGGTTGGGTGCAGGGGTTTGGAACGCAGAGACGCGTGGACTTCTTGTGTTTTCTTAATGTTCTGTCTTATTTTTCCCCAGAGTGATGGGCCCTGGCAGCATCCCTGTGCCCCATAACTCTCCCCAACACTCTTCCCCCTCTGCCTTTTCTGTGCCCCACGATAGGGAAGGGGGACAGTCCCTGACTCCTTCGAGGTAGTCGAGCTACTTACTGAATGGGGTCACTCATGTCCTGACTCCCACCATGGAATCCAGAGAGGCACAGGCACGTTCTGTCCCCCTTAGACCAGCCAACAAGGAGGGCCCTCCACTTGCCCCCTCGCCACCTGCCAGGACCCTCCCCACCCCAGCACCAACCTACCCAGAACTGTGCTGGCTTAGTCAGCCTGATGACCAGTTGAGGTTACGAGGGTCCTTGGTCTCGAGGACCCAGTTAATACTCAGACTGCATTCACCCCCAAGACCTGGCCCCTCTTTCTGGGCAGAGAAGCCAGGACACCAAGCGATCCCTCAAGAAGTTCACTGAGAGGGGCTTAGCCGTCCTCAGAGAGACATCTGGCACAGACATCCTCTCTTCCTCCCACACACACATTGCTGAGGGGTGCACATGCTTCCACAGGGACCCCCTTCCCCTGTCAGTCCTCTTGGCACTGTTCTCTCCAACACTCCCGCACTAGTCCATCAGTCACCCTGGATCCCCTTACACTTGCGGATGGTCTTGAGTCAGGTATGATTGGGGAGCACAGTTCCAGAGGGGCCAGCCAGGAGGAGACTCTGTTCCTGCACACACCCATTCTCTCCTCTTTCAGCTCAGGAGGGGTGACTCCCTTCAAAAGACCTGTGGCCTCTGGGGAAGGTGGGCTGGACATTGCTGGGGAACCCTATGGCCTGGGATCAGGATTAACTCTTCAGGGCCCGGCCACTCTTCCTCCCAAGCCTGGCTTCTCCTTCCTCTTCCCCACTTCCCCCAGGGAAGAAGGCAGCAAATGAGTGGTGAAGGGAGCTCTTGGAAGCTGTAAACGAGGTGACTGTTGTCACCCTGAGGATGTGGCCAGGAGGAAGTGAAGTTTAACAGGTGCCTAATTACAAGTTCCGCTGGCTGTCCTGTGCCACTCTTGGGACAGGGAAGAGCTTGGGTGAGGGCTGGGTAATGCCTGGGTAGGCCACCCTGTCACCCCGCTAATTAGGGTTCCTGGGACTCCTCCCCAAGGCGGTGACTAGGCCCCCTCCCTCCCATAGAAATAACTCCGGCTGCTCCCCAGTCGGGCACTCATTGCACCTTCCTGCCACCCCAGGCAGTGTCTGGGCCCTCAGCTCCCCCTCCCTTCACCCACCCCCTCACACCCACCACCACCAGCCCACGGGATACCCAGCCCAGGCGGAGGCAACACCAAGCCTAGAGACATGGGAGCTGGAGGAGCATTCCACCTACTGCTTGTGTGCCTGAGCCCAGGTACGGGGCTGGGCAGTGGGCAGAGACAGCCAGCATGAGGCTAGGTGGGCACGAACGGTGCAGCAAGGGCTCACAGGGGAGCCTGAAGCTGCCTGAGGTGCCTGGAGGGGTGCTGCCCACCCTTGCCCTGCTGCAGCCGGATGTGGGTATTGCCAGGGGTCCTCTCCCCAGGAGAGCCTGTGCCTGAGGATCAGGGTGGGTGTCTGTGGTGTGAGGGTCTTTGAGTGGATCTTTGCATGTCCCCTGTGGGGCTCACACATGTGCGCAGGTGCCCTGCAAGCTCATGCTGTGCCTGGAAGGACAGGGATTACTCTGTGGGAGCTGGAGGTGGGGTAGGAGGAGGAACCTGGGAAGGATAAATTTTCATCAGACTGTGTGCTATTCCCAGGGCGACTTCTCTTCCAAGGCCAGGTCCAAGGGGCAGGGGAGTCACTTGCCTTGAAAGGGCAAGAGACTAAGGCTGGCGTAAGTCTGAGTGATTGATTGCTTCCATTGTGGCCAATGAGAGCTCAGCTCTGGGCCCTGTGTGCTATGAGAGTTCCAGAATAGTGCCCCATGCCAGGATGAGGCCTGAGGGTGGCAGGGATGGCAACTCCAGAAACCTCTCACCCCACCAGGACAGGTCTGCAGAGCAGGGCTCAAGTTTGGACATGGTAGCTTCCTGCCCAGGTTGTGGTGAGTCCCACCAAGGGACATTGTGTGCCGACATCACTGAGTCCCTCCTGTGGTCTGGATTTGGGATGAAGGGGCACGAAAGAGGAGTGTGTGTGTGGGGTGCATTTTCAGCTTTTGTGTGAGCGTGAATGTGTATGTGAGTGTATGCACCTGTGTGGGAATGATGACATTTCTGGCAGGATAGCCGCAGCCCTCTCTGTCTGGTGAGAGCAGGGCTGGCGGAGTCCACTTGGGAGGCTCCAGCTGTGCTGTGGGGATCTGGACATCCCCCTGTGCGGTGCGTCAATGGGTGTGCGAGGACACTTGGTGCTGACTGCATTCACGCTTCAATACCCTCAGCTGGAGCTGCCTTTTCTCCACTCCCTTACCTCCAGAGGGAGGGTCAGGAGTTCTGGAAGCACCTGAGGATTCAGAAAGAATTTATAAGCAGAGAATAGGCACCACTATTGAGAGGACACCCCGTAAAGCACGGCCAGCCTCTGGTGCTTTTGTGGGGGGCAAAGAATCACCACCATGTGATTCCTCCATTCCCCTTCCTCCTCAAGTCTGCCACCCAGCTCTCTCCCACCCTGACTTTCTTCCCTCTCTAGCCTCTCCCCTCTCATTCCCTGTAGCACTTCCTTAATGCTACAGCAAGAGGAATCAAGGTGAGACACTAGGAACAACTTCCCAAGGAGAGGGAGGGGTGCGGAAAGTCTGGAACCCTTGGGAGGAGGTTGAGAATACTTCTAAGGAGATAGAAAAGCTGGGTGAGGCTCCCTGGCCTGGGACAATTGAAGAAGCTCTCAGCCTGGTGCAGGGCAGAGGTGCATTTCTTCCAGCCTGTCCCTCTTTCCCAAGCCCCTCTCCCTGAATGCTTACCCTCCTGCCTGGCAGGCTCCTATGGCATGGAGAGAGTCCTCCCTGCGTGGGTGCTTCCAGCGGCTCTTCTCCAGGGTGGAGCCTCTCCTCTCAGCCGAGTTCTGGCTCATCCCTGGCTTGCCTTGAGCCACTTCAGGATCTGGCAGATGGCAGCAGGATCCTTATCTCAGGAATGAGCTGTTGTTCTCTTGGCCTGGGGCTGGAAGAGGCATCACCAGGTCCCGTTAGAGCCCCAACAGCCAGCCTGCCTGCTCTGGGCTGCCTTGGAGTCTAGCCGGGTTAGGACAGGGCTGATGGTCCAGCCAGTTTTCCTAGGAGGGAAGTTCAGAGATCCCTGAGGTGTTGAGAGTGTTGAGAGTGCCTTTGCTGGCCTCGCTGAAGCCAGGCTAAGCCTTCCTGGCAGGGCTTCCATGGATATGTCTGGTCTTGAAAGAACACACACAGGGACTATATGAACACAGTGGGTGTGTCTTTTGAATCAGTATGTTCTGTGTTTATGTGCAGATTGTGTCTGTGTCTGTATGAATCTAATAGTGTCTCTGTGTGTAGGAAGGTGGGGCCACCTAGGTATGTATCTGCATTTTGAAGGCTTGTAAGAGTGGACCACGTGTTGCTTTGTTTGCCTGTGACTGTAATTGTGTGTGTGCATGTGTGAAATCTCTAAGTGTAAACGTGGTCCTGAGCCACAGAATGATAGAACAGAATGATTACTGAGACCTGGGGCTGTGACTCCAGAAGACATGTTGACTCAAAAAAGAAAGTGGACAGAGAGTGTGTGAGGCCTGGTGAGGGGCCTGCAGAGGCAGGGTTGCTAGAGACTGGGTGGTGGAGTACAGAGTCCAGGGTGGGGCCCTAGCTACGCACCCTCGGTCTTATCCCTCTCTGGGTCCAACCGGTTGGGCATAGGCTTGCCTGGGGCTTCAGGGTAGGGAGGGACAGGAGCTCAGTCCTGAGCTCCTGGGTCCTGGGATCCTGGCTCCTCACCCAGGATTGCCTGCCACTGATTCAGTGGCAGGAGGGGCCTCACTGGGAGCCAGCTTGTGGGGGTGGCTGCATGTGAGCCACACAATCACATAAGAGGAAGCACACACAGTCCACAGTGCTGTGTAGTCACGAAAGAGTCACACTGTTCTACAGATACCTGTGGCCACAGTCCCAGGCACACACAATCACTCACTATCTCACATGAACACAGCCAGGCTCCTGGTCACAGCTGCCCACTGTCATGCACAAGCATGCACTGTCACTTTTAAGCACTTACATAGCCTCATATGGTCACACACCACTGTATAGAACCACATAGAGGCATACAGACACAGACACATGCTGTCATACACATGCGTGTACACACATGCCGTACACACATGGACACATGCAGTCTTCGGCTTCTCAGGCTGGAGAGGAGCCCCAGAAGCCATTGTAACCATCCTGCTGCCTCTGGACAGGAGCACCTCACTCAGCCCAGACAGGTGACATTTAACCAGCCAGGCTCTTCTATCAGAGCATTTGACACCTCTGTGTGTACCACATGCCTTCACACACACACACACACACACACACACACACACAAGCACATCCGCACTATCACATAAATATACAAGCAGATATGCTACATGGTCATATACATGAATAACCTCACAGTACACAGAGGCAGTCACAAATAGTCATAAACATACAATGTACATGTATACATATTCATACATGCATACACATAATCATATACATACAAGCATACATAACGGCTGTATATAACAGCTATACGTATAGCTCCATGTGTAACATATAGTTGTTACATGCCTATAAAAATTCATGCACACACATATACGCACCCACTAAAAAGCCCTTTTTGTGAAAGCTGACCTCTGGGTGCAGTGAACAGCAGATGTGAAGGGAAGGGATGATGCTGACTCCTCCTGAAGCCCTAGATCTGCAGCTACCACTCGTTTTCTCTGCCCTCCCCCAGCACTGCTGTCTGCTGTGCGGATCAACGGGGATGGACAGGAGGTCCTGTACCTGGCAGAAGGTGATAATGTGAGGCTGGGCTGCCCCTATGTCCTGGACCCTGAGGACTATGGTCCCAATGGGCTGGATATCGAGTGGATGCAGGTCAACTCAGACCCCGCCCACCACCGAGAGAACGTGGTGAGTGCTGGGCACTGGGATCTTCTTCCTCTGTGCTTCCTGATGTCTACCTGTTAGACAGCCAACATCCCAAGGGGAGAAGAAAACTAAGTCTTTGAACCTCCCCCAAGGCCTCTCAGGGAATGGGGCAATGGGGACGAGAGCTCTGCAACTGTGAATTAAGCTAGCCAGTTAGTCTTCCTCCTCCCGCCCCATTCTAAAGGGAAGATAAGGTACAGTCTCTGCCTTCAAAAAGTTCCCAGTCTGACCGTATACTTTTCCAATTGTTTGATCTCCTCAGTTTTGTAAGAGGTCAGTGGATCAGGCATGATCATTCTCATTTTTCAGTTGAGAAAACGGAGTCTCAGAGAAGTTCAGTGAATTGCCCAAAGTAGCCAAACCCACATGGCCCTCCTCGGCTCTGCCTGTTTCACCACCTGTTCTCCTCTCCTCTTCACAGTTCCTTAGTTACCAGGACAAGAGGATCAATCATGGCAACCTTCCCCATCTGCAGCAGAGGGTCCGCTTTGCAGCCTCGGACCCGAGCCAGTACGATGCCTCCATCAACCTCATGAACCTGCAGGTATCTGATACAGCCACCTATGAATGCCGGGTGAAGAAGACCACCATGGCCACCCGGAAGGTCATTGTCACTGTCCAAGGTATGGCAAGACTCCTCTGAGCTCCTCTTCCCCTGGCTTCAGAGCCAAGGGCAGCTTGGTTGCTGTGAGCCTGGCTGTCTCTCTGCTGGGCCCTGGCTTACAATTGTCTGCCTCCTTGCAGCACGACCCGCAGTGCCCATGTGCTGGACTGAAGGCCACATGACATATGGCAACGACGTGGTGCTGAAGTGCTATGCCAATGGGGGCTCCCAGCCCCTCTCTTACAAGTGGGCCAAGATCAGTGGGCACCATTACCCCTATCGAGCTGGGTCGTACATCTCCCAGCACAGCTACCACTCTGAGCTGTCCTACCAGGAGTCCTTCCACAACTCCATAAGCCAAGGTGAGAGGGCCCTGGGCGAGGGTGGTGTGGGGATGAGTGGAAGATCAGGGACTCTGGGACCTTGTTGGGGTTTCCTTGGGTGGCCTCAAGTCAAACCTGGAACCCCTGTGGGAGACCCTCCTTCTGTGCCTGCCCCAGCAGCTGCTATATATATATATTTCTGCCTCCCAGGTTCAGGTGATTCTCCTGCCTCAGCCTCCCAGATAGCTGGGATTATAGGCACACACCACCACACCTGGCTAATTTTTGTATTTTTAGTAGAAACAGGGTTTCACTGTGTTAGCCAGGCTGGTCTCGAACTCCTGACCTCAGGTGATCCACCCGCCTCAGCCTCCCAAAGTGCTAGGATTACAGGTGTGAGCCATGGCGCTGAGGCCTAGCAGCTGCTATTGAGGGGAGATGATAAGGCAAATGTGCAGAGTCAGTCAAAAGCAATATGGCGAATTTGGAGAGAGTCTCAGGCAGAGCTAGGCTTGAATCCTGACAGGGGCACTGACTGGCTGCAAGTCTAAAGCAAGCGGCTTACCCTCCCTGTGCCTTGATTTCTTCATATATGGAAAGGGAATACTAATATATACCTTTCATAAGCATACAAGGGTTAAATGGGGGAGGGGGAGGTGTGTAAAGCTCCTAGTACACAGAGAAGCTGAAAAGATTCAACCAAAGAATAATAGAGCTAGGGGGGATGTTAGAGTTCCGCTGGTCTAATCCTGTCCTCACTGGACAAAGGAGGAGACCAAGGCTCAGAGAGGGGACCTATTTCCCTAAGGTCACAAGCAAATTAATGGTGTTTCCGTCTTGCTGCTGGGAGAGGGGTCTTCCTTGCATCTCTGTCACAGCAGGGGGAAGGTGACTCTCCTGGAGAGTGGAGTGGATGTGTGTGTGTGTGTGTGTGTGTGCGCGCGGACTTGTACACACATGCATAAGTCTTCCCTTCTTCCGGAGTGGGTGTCCCATCCCCCACCCTGCAGGGACTGAGGTTGGGGTGGGAGCTCTCAGAGACCAGGCCTCTCCACTTCACTTTCAGGCCTGAACAATGGGGACCTGGTGTTGAAGGATATCTCCAGAGCAGATGATGGGCTGTATCAGTGCACAGTGGCCAACAACGTGGGCTATAGTGTTTGCGTGGTGGAGGTGAAGGTCTCAGGTAGGTGCAGCAGCCTTAGGGGCTGAGTGGTTGGGCGGGTTGAACTGGAGGTGGCTGGGTTTTAGTTCAGAGCCTCAGCTGCTTCTGCTTTTCCACTGCCATCCATTTGCCAATGGGGACTCCCATCTCCTCTCCTGCAAGTGGGCCAAGATCAGTGGGTACAACTACCCCTATGGAGCGGGGTCTCACCTTCCCAGCACAGCTTCCACTCTGCGTTGTGCTGGAAGCCCTGGGAGAAGCATGCTGACACAAGGAGTTAACTTGCATCTCCCCATATCTTCCCCACTGCCTGTCCCAGGGCTCAGAGACCCCCTGGGTCCCTCTGCTTCTTTCCCACTAACCCCTGCCCTGGCACCTCCTGGTCCTGGTCCTCAGGCACCTGCCATGCTGTGTGAAAGCCTGACCAGCCTCCACTTCTCTCCACAGACTCCCGGCGTGTAGGCGTGATCATCGGCGCGGTGCTGGGCTCTCTGCTGGCGCTGGGCTGCCTGGCCGTAGGCATCTGGGGGCTCGTCTGCTGCTGCTGCGGGGGTTCCGGGGGCGTCGCCCGCGGTGCCTTCGGCTACAGCAACGGCGGCGGGGTCGGCGGAGGGGCCTGCGGCGACTTGGCTAGTGAGATCAGGTAAAACCTGATGCATGCTGCATGCTGCTGTGCGGCGGGGAACCGGCGCCCTGCTCGCCTCACTCCTGCCTGCCAGCGGCCGGCTGGGCCCCCCACCCCAACCCTGCCCGCCATCGCCACGGAGTGCTGGGACTGCGGCATGTCGACCTGCCACCCAACGCATGGCTTTTCCCTCCCCCTTCCACCCCCGTCTTCACCTCTGCTTCCTGCCCTCCATTTCCCTCCTGCCTTGCACCTGTCTGTCTGTCTTGTCTAGACTGTAAGCTCCTGGAGGGCAGGGCCTGCGTTTCTTCATGTTTCCCCTGTACTACGCTGGTGAGAACTTTGACGTGATTATTTAAGAAGAGCTAATGATAAGAATAGTGCTAATTACTTATATTAGAAGCAAACTAGAAATAAAAATAGAACAAGTCTAGCAGTGCTAATGATTGCAATGCCTCGGGGATGGAGGGAAAGATGGAGAAGATTGAGGGGCAGGAGGTGAGAAAGAGAGAGAGAGATTGCACGTGCAAGGGCAGGGCTAGCTAAGGAAAGAAGAAGAGGAAAAGCAGCTCCTTCTGGATCTCTACTAGAGGCGATCGCCCTGCGAAACATCAGTAAGGGGTTGGATGGCCCTGGAGGGGGCTGCCTGCGGGGCTGTCCAGATTCGCGCGGACAGGCCCTGTCTGGAGGATGGGGATGGTGGCTCTGGGACCGCTGCAGGGTCGCCGGCCCAGGAAGAGGCAGGAAGGAGAGTAGGTGGAGGCCGAGGGAGAGAGGCGAGGGCAGGTGGAGGGAGGTGCGGGAGACCAGAGGTTGCCAAGAGCCCCCGGCTCTGCCCAGGCCGTGCCCACGCCGCGCCGCGGAGCAGCCAGCTCACCCGCCCGCCTGTTGTTTTCCACAGAGAGGACGCCGTGGCGCCCGGGTGCAAGGCCAGCGGGCGCGGCAGCCGCGTCACCCACCTCCTGGGGTACCCGACGCAGAACGTCAGCCGCTCCTTGCGCCGCAAGTACGCGCCTCCGCCCTGCGGTGGCCCCGAGGACGTGGCCCTGGCGCCCTGCACCGCCTCCGCCGCCGCCTGCGAAGCGGGCCCCTCCCCGGTCTACGTCAAGGTCAAGAGCGCAGAGCCGGCCGACTGTGCCGAGGGGCTGGCGCAGTGCAAGAACGGTCTCCTGGTGTGAGCGCGCCGCCGGGCTGCGCCCTGGCCGGGAGGAGGACGCTGGGCTCTCTGCCTGCAGCTGGGGACACGTCGGGGCTGGTGCCGACCTCGCTCGCCCCAGGCCGCCAGGCGGCTGGGGGTGAAGGCATTTCCCTAAGGAAATGCGTCGGGAGGCAGAGCCTCCTCCCCACAAGTGGGAGGCGGCGGGCGAGGGCGCAGGAAGGCGATCTCGAGCCTTCTCCGCCTCCCCGGGGCCGAAGGCTCTGGGGAGAGGGAGGGAGTAGGAGGCCCAGTCAGTGTCCTAAAGAGGCCGACGACGGAGGCCGGGTGTCCCCAGCCTAAGCAGAGGGCCCCGGGGGCCGGGTGGGTGGGGGTCCGTCTGGACGAATTTTCTGTGTGTGAGGTCTGAGCTCTGAGGCTGCAGTGTTGGCACAATAAAGAAACATTGAGACGTGAGTCCGAAGTGGCTGTCCGCGTTCCACGGAGGTTGGGCACCCGGGTCGGGGGGAGCGGGTCCTGCCCAGGGCCGGGGAGGGTTGCTTCTGTCGCTCCGCCCCGTCCCCGCCCCTCTCCTCCCTCCTTCTGCTTGGATCTCTGGCAATCAGAGCTGGAAGGATCCATCCAATGCTACTCCTTTCAACAACATACAAAGTGCACAGAAAAGGAAAACAGAAAAAAAAAAAAAAAAAAAAAAAGAATTAGGAATATCTATGACCGCAAAATAAACGATCATAGATAAGAGAAACTGGCAAAGTGCAATAGACTTGCCATTTCTAAATATTCAAAATTTTCACGTGTCAATATTTTCTGTTTAGAAAAATGTGCTCTGAAGGTCTAGGGAGGCTTTGTATGTTGTTGAAAGCTGAAAGGAAACTTGTCCTTGGATCACAGAAGACACAGGTACCCCGTGAGATAGAAACAAGGACATGTGGCCGGGCGCGGTGGCTCAAGCCTGTAATCCCAGCACTTTGGGAGGTCGAGGCGGGCGGATCACCAGGTCAAGAGATCGAGACCATCCTGGACAATATGGTGAAACCCCGTCTTTACTAAAAATACAAAAATTAGCTGGGTGTGGTGGCGTGCCCCTGTAGTCCCAGCTGCTTGGGAAGCTGAGGCAGGAGAATTGCTTGAACCTGGGAGGCGGAGGTTGCAGTAAGCCGAGATTGTGCCACTGCACTTCAGCCTGGCGCCTGGCAACAGAGCAAGACTCTTGTCTAAAAAAAAAAAAAAAAAGAAAGAAAGAAAGAAAGAAATAAAGAAACAAGGACATGTGAAAATAAGACTACCACCTCTTAGATTAGAAAAAGCCAAGTGCCACAGTTCTAGGGCGCTAGGTGAAGTGCAGGAAGGAGGGGAATCATGTTGATACAGCTTATGTTTTGGAACTCGGAGAGTATGGTAAGTCCCTTCACCTGGATGCTGCCGGGGGTTTACAACAGTTAATTTGTGGCTTTGCTTTTCTTCCCTTGTCTACAGTTGGTCAACTTGTGCAGAGCCCATTCCACAGGGATGTTTGAGAAATACCAAGTGAATGAATGAGTGCGGCAGCATTACTCTATGTTAGAAAAAAAAGTTTTTAGACGTTTTACAGTTACTGCCTTATGCTGGATTATTCTGTGGTTAGAATTTAGGCCTATCAGAAATCCAGCTCGGTCCTCTTACACCCTGAAGTAGTCAGCCATTCCTAGATAGGGATTAACAGGGCTGTTTAGTATCTACTAGCACTTGTTAAACACCTTGTCATATTTACAATGTATTCTGGGGGATGTTTTAGTCATTTTTGGTTAAAAAGTGGAAACCAGTAAACCCTGTTAGAGTTAATAGGTGTGAAAAGCCCTCTCTTGTCTAGTGAGATGGGGAGTGCTTCATAGAAGAGTAATGTTTGAGATAAAGTTCCGAGGACATACTTGCTAAGCAAACAGTAAGTAAGGTGGGCAGTGCTATAGAAGTTCCTCTGTTGATAAAGGGACCAGGTGGTCACACAGCAAGGAGGGGGATGCAGACAGGAAGAGACAGCTCGCCGGGCGCGGTGGCTCACGCCTGTAATACAGCACTTTGGGAGGCCGAGGCGGGTAGATCACGAGGTGAAGAGATCGAGACCATCCTGGTCAACATGGTGAAACCCCATCTCTACTAAAAATACAAAAAATTAGCTGGGCATGGTGGCGCGTGCCTGTAATCCCAGCTACTCGGGAGGCTGAGGCAGGAGAATTGCCTGAACCCAGGAGGCGGAGGTTGCGGTGAGCCGAGATTGTGCCATTGCACTCCAGCCTGGGCAACAAGAGCGAAACTCCATCTCAAAAAAAAAAAAGAAGAAGAAGAAGACACAGCTCTATTAATCCTTCTTTATTCAACATCACCTCTGTTGGGCTTTGGAATCTACTTTGCCAACGCAATGCCCACTCACTTAAATCATGCCCATTCATGATTTAAGAATTTCTAATGTGGAATAGAAATGATTAGTATGAGAAGGTTGGCTGGATTAATTTCTTTTGCTGAGCAAGATTAAACTTAAAAAAACAAAAACAAAAACCAGGTGCGTCCTAAATGCCCAAGATTTAAGAAGGAACCTCATAGCTCAACTGGGTATTCGATGAATGTGAATGATTTTGTATTTGACGAGCTGATGAGGATAACATAGTGACACAGAGGATAGGTGTTTGTACATCTGAATTGTTTGGGCTGTTTCTCATTTTATGTGTAACTTATTTGTATAGCTATTTATAGAGTTCATTTCATGTTAGATTATTTATGCTCTGGTAGCAAAAATATATTTGAAAGGATACAGTTTCTGAAATCAACAGTTTCCTATCTGCTAGGAGACGTGTATCAGGAAAAGTCGTGTGGGTTCTATTATTTCCATGCTAAAACTTGGATGTTACCTTACACTTTGGTCCCTTGTTTCACGGATGTTAGAACTGAGCTTAGACCTCCCTCAGAATCCTTTGGGACTTTGTGCTTCATGTTTTTGGCCTGCCTTGATTTTATCTGCTCATCCTTGATTCTTTCATGCTCTTTGTTTACACTTAACTCTGGAATATTTTGGCGGATATTTTCAATGTACTCTTTAAGTTGGTTTATAATGAATTACTGAGGAGAATAGCAAGCTGTTGACATTATATTTGTCTGTAATAACACTGGAATATTTCTATTTCAATTTGTTGGGCAATTTGCCTGTAGAAATATAAGATGTTATATTTAGTTGTACCAAACCAGGATCTCAATATTATTCTTTTGGCAGATTGCTCTCTCTCTCTCTCTTTCTCTCTGTGTGTGTGTGTGTGTTTCTGTCTCTCTGTCTTTGATTTCTTTCCTTCATATTTTCCCCTTAATTTGGCGTCAGTCAATACTGTTTTTGTTTCCCATCCGTTGTCATATAAAACTAGTCATCTCGTTCTCCCAGGCCCCCTGTCCTTGGGAAGGGATGTGCAGTCTGCAGGTATCACGGTTTTACGTAGCTGAATGAGCTGCTGGGAAAGGCCTTGGCTGGGCTTACAATGAGCTGTGTTTACTGAGCATGATGAAGCGAAGTTCAGTAAAAAAAAAAAAATCCTACTTATTCACTCTACACATAGGGAAACTGAGGCCCCTCAGGCTGGACTTTAAGTCCCCACTTTTACTTTTCCATTTTATTTTAGAAGGGCAGATGGGAGAACGGGGATCTGTCATGGATGACCTCCAAATATTCCCTGACTGTTCTTAGCAGCCCTCTTTCTCTTCCCCTCATTGACCTAATCCTGACTTCTTTATCTCTTTAGATGTATGCCCTCTTTCTTAATGGCCGGCAAGGGTTCAGAGTCATACTCTCTGGTGTAGAAAGACCTTCAATGCCAGCTAACCTGGTCTTTTGGTGGGAAGGGGATTGGCATTTATTGAGCACCTACTGTCAGCTGCTTTTGTATTCTTTGTCTTATTTATTCCTTACTTTAACTATGAGAGTGTGTATTATTCCCATTATACCAATGAATAAACTGAGGCTCAGAGGGATTAGGCATCTTGACCAAGGCAACAAAGATACTAATTCAGGATTTGATCTAGGCATGTTTGATTCCAGGACAGCAGGCTGTTTCTCTGGGATTTGAATTCTTTCTATAGAATTCCTGACAATGGATATTCAACCTCTTCTTGAAAACCTCCAATGGCAGCTCACTACCTTCTAAGGCATGCCACTTGCCTCTGACTATTGATATTCAACAGAATATTTCTCTGGAATCCAGATTTTGTCCCCAGATAGCTTTTATCCCTTGATCTGAATTCTACTCTTAGGGACCCCAGAGTGTTGCATTTCTAATTCACCTGCCTCTAGTGGATCAAGTGGTTGCACTCCATACAAGATGGCTGCAACAGGCACACACTGGACACTTGCCGGGTCTAGTTGGTAAGGGGTGTTCAGAAGAGCACTTCAAGGGCACTTCATTCTACCTGCCTTTCCCCAGCTGCCTGCTTGTCGAGAGCCCAGCATCTTTCTTCTCTCTTTGTCTCTTCTCTTGAGGAGAAGCTAGTCTTCCTCGTTTTTCCTGCTTCTATTCTAGGGTCACAGGAAGTGTGTGATGTGCATGAGTCTCAAAGTGTCTGGGTTTAGGAAGCCCTCAAACCCTTCTTAGTAACATATAACTAGGAAACCCTCGAGATGCCTTGGGTATTTGCAAAGGGGTGATGGCATTGCCAGATCTGCTTTTATAGAGCTTGCTGGAAGATATGAGAGATAGTAATGAGACCAAAGGAACCAGAGACAACTGACTTGGGGGTGGGAAGTTGGGGAGTTCTTGAGAATGAGAAGAAAGGACATTAAATACAGAGAAGAGAAGAGAATACCAGGAACCATCTATCCCTTCATTGATTTGGTCATATTTATGAGCATCTATAAGATGACTTGTTATAGATTAAGAGATCTTCAGCAGGGCACTGTGTCTGGCATGCTTTTGCCCTAAGGCAGTGATGGTACAGGATGACTTGGGGAGGGTGCCCCGAGTCTGAGGAGCCTCCGGCTCAGCTTCCTGCAAGGTGCTGAGGGACACAGCCAGCTGGCCATGCAGGTGGTTGAATGACATCATCTTTCCCCATCATTCCAGGAGCAAGGGAACTACGATCAGACTTAGCCACCATTTGGGAGGTAAGACCAGTGAGGCTCTGGCAAGAAAGGCTCATTAAAAAGCAGCAAGAGAGATTTCAGAGAGACTCTGAGAACAACTTCCTGTTAGGCTGAGTCAACAGGGATGGTAGAGAGTTCCTAAATCCAATGCCGAGATCACAGTCATCACTGTACTTAACCACCCCAGGAGAATGAGGGAGGGAAGTTTCTGTTTCTGCAATTTTGCTTCAGGGACACCTTGGTGTTTTCTCTTCATTTCTCCTGCATGAAATCTTGTTCAGTGCTGGAGGAGAACACTCATGGTGATACATTTCAACAGTGGCTTTGGGAGTAGGGCGGAGGGTGGGTGGGGCTGGGAAGCCCTGATTTGTAGTCTTTGCTGATTTCGGTGATGTCAGTACTTCCACTATGGCTGAATTCAAGCTCCCAACATGATGTCACTGGCATGGAACTGGGAGAAATGTTTGGTAGCACATTATTGTGTAGTATTTCCAGGATACAGATAAAATAGAGGAAGTAAATAACTTTAAGAGCTTAGGTAATAGTGAACTGTAGCAAAATTATTAGGAAGTGGTGAATTCTGAGTACTTACCACGTTTGCTTTAATATCATTTAGTTATAGAGTTATGTAATTTAAACTTTTTAATAATGGCTGCATTTAACAACTGGCTTGGAAAAGTTCGGTGGACTGCATGACCCCAGGCAAGCAGACGGCTGGGCAAACAAGTGTTGCCTCAAGAATGGGAATCTCAAGTACAGTCTTGATTCTTCGCTATTTTTCTAGAGAGATGCAAACAGCACAGAGTTATGCTACTTCTATTGAATACTATGTAAGTGGTCTTCATTCTACTCCCTAGTTCTACTTTTCCATCTCTCCCCAGCCTTGCTAGAGCTAAATTCTGGTTCCTCAGGACACTGAACAATTATTCAGATGATTTATATCCCCTTGGTTCCAGGTTTCTCTTTTGGTAGCCATCAGAAACCTGCGTTGGCATCCACAGAATCTGCACACACGTCTCCCAGGGCATCCAGCCATGGGAAATCCATTCGAGAGATGCTTGTGAGTCCTCGTTGTCTCAGTTCCTTCTCTGACTCTCTCCCCAGCCTTTAGGAAGTCATCCTCTAGTCATCTTCTCTTAAGTCCCTAATTCTCAAGGCCATGAGTCATATAGAGTCCCAAGGAATTTTCTTCTGTGTGCTCCTCTTTGAGTGACTATTACCATTCATGCTGTTCAATTACATTTCAGCTACTCCAGGCCCAGTCAGACTGTGGTGACGCTGGGGAGGGGTTAATCATAATAATGATAATAATTATTATTTTGCCTCACTGGAAACAAGAGTGTTTCGGGAATTACCCAATCATGATTCTTTCAGAGTCACAAAAATTACTTCACTCCTACGGGTTTAGGTTGGGGCCTGCCTGGAGGGAGACAGCTCTATAGCCCCATCCACTAAGCTGCCCAGGGAGTCGCCTCACGGCTCGTTCCCCTGGTTTGGTGGGAACCTGGGAAGCCCCTGCTCTGGAGTTAACCTTCTGTTCATCCAGCTCATCTGGAGTAACCATTTTATTTATCCCTGGTGTATGGAAACAAAACTGATTGCACTCAGTTCTTCGTAGTTAGAGAGGGAAGGCTGTGCTGCAGAGGGGTGCGTGGGGGACGTGGGAACCTGCAGGCAAGGTGGGATAGTGGCTGCTTTGGGGAATCTGGAGGAGCTGGGCATGGTCACCGTGCCTGCTGGTGGGGAGTGGACAGGATGGCCTTCTGCCATCCCTCTGTGGCCATAGCCCTCTCCAGCCTTCTTGGATGCATTTTAGGCAGATGTGCAGGATGGGACACTGAGGACCAAGGAGGAGACTGGAGCCTGGACAAAGGCAGGAAACTGAGCAGAGGAGGATGGGGTGAAATCGCTGATCACAGCGTCATAGAGACTGAGTTTGAGGTGGCAGCAGACTCCTGTGTAGGTTTCTTGAGGAATTAAAGAAGGGAGGAGGAAGAAAACTTGTAATACATGTTTGTGATACATGTTCACATCGGCAAAGAAAACAAGCCTCAGTTTTGGAGTCAGACAGATGTGGGTTTATAGTTATTTAATAAGCTTCCAAAGCCTCAGTTTCTTTGTCTGTAAAATGGAATAGCAATAGGGCTGTTTTTGTGTGACAGGCATATTACAGAGCCTGGCATGTAGGCTCGGGAAGTGGTTGATCCTCAGCCCTCCAAATCCCTAGAATGTAATTTCATCTCCCACAAGAGGACAGGCCTGGAGGCATGGATCTAACCCTGCAGAGGTTGGGGACTGAGGCTGGGATGGTGGGAGGTCCACGGGGTGGGGGACGGAGCATGAAGAATGAAGCCTTGGGATCGAAACTGGAGATGGCTCACCATCTGGAGGAAGAGGCAGGGAATCCAGGAAGCTGCCAGTAGAGAAGGAGGAGGACCAGGACTTGCCTCTGAGTGTTGGAATCCACATGCAAGTGTGAATATTGACAGCAATCCTCATTAGTAATAATGACCCTAATGATACGAGGAAGCACCTGAAACACTAGCTCGGCAGGGTCCCGGAGTCAGATAAGCTGCCAGAATCCACAGGGTGGGCCCCCGGGCCAGGGTGTGCCCTTCCGTGCTCTTTCCTGGCTGCCAGACCTCAGTTCCTGGCACTCAGGCCCCCGTTGGCCTCCCTCTGGACCCGGGGCTCATTGTGGTGCCCTCTGTAGCCTGGACTTTGACAACCCCTCCCAGGTGGAAGGCCCTTCCTGAAAGGTTACCACACTGCTTTCCCAGAGCTGAGGACGGACCTTCCTGGCAGGGGGCACACAGATTTTCTTCACCGTTTTGCAGAGAATTCATTCCGCCTTGGAAGTGAACTCCTTCAGCCCAATCCAGGCCCCACTTCCTGCTTGCCTCTGGCCTGGGAAGCCTCCTCCTCTCAGTCCCCTCAGATGCCCCCTGGTCTGCCCACCTCTTTGGTTTGGATGCCATCTGCAGCCTGGTGGCTCTTCCCTGCAGTCACTCACCTGCACTGGCTTCTGTGCTTACCCAAATGCTGGGGTTTGGGCTCCAAGTCCCTGCTCCGGCCCCCACCTCACCTCAGCCCTTTGCCAAGTCTGATCCATGAAACTCCCCTACCTGTCTCTCCGCCTCCTCCTCTTTCCTCAGAAAGACAGACAGGCCTTACCCTGTGCTCTTATCCCAGTCTCTCCCCTGGTCCCAGACAAGTGTTTGTTATCCTCACAGTGTCCTGGGAGTGTCCTGTCGTCCTCCCATCTCCATCAAACTAGGCTTCCCCTGAGCGCGGGGCCGTGTCTCTTCCTTTTCTCAACATCTACTCTCTTGAGAGCTGAGAACGTCTCTTCGGTGGCCTGTCCTAAAAAGAGTGTGGTGGATGAAGTTTGCATTAGAGACTCCGCCCTCAAATTAGGCTGATGACAGTAGCCAATGCCTGTGGTCGCCTCAAGGCCATGA